TTTAGGACGACGCAATATGCAAAAAACATGGTTTTTCCCTATCTCGCTCTGTGATTTTTGCCCTGTTGAGCCGCCATCTTGGATTTTCAAAATATGTCACGCCGGTTGAGCCGAGTCAGCAATCTAGGTCTCCTATATCTATGGTGATGCCATTGTAAGGTTTCTGAGTCAATAACAGGGTGTTGACCTTCTTACTCGATAGAACTAAATGTTGAGGACTTGAAGGGTTTTGTACAGGGCAGGAAAAAAGAATTTTCTTCCTGGAAGCGCAACCTGGAGACAAAAATTTCCTGCAGACCAACGGAGTATTTTTGTGCTAAATCTGCATAGTGTTCTAGCTGACCATGGTTTTAAATTCAAGGAATAATGTCTGTCAACCACATGTTGTTGCGCCCATTGTGGGATCTGGGTGTTAAGGTTTCCTTTACACCGAATACGAATTTACTGCAGCTGTTTAACATTTTCTGCGAGCAGTGCTCGCGTGCTCGCCTATTTTTTCCACTCCTGGTTTTGTAAATGGAAATTTCCAAAATGTCACTCCTATATTTACTTAATCCTGAGTAGCTAGTTATGCTGGTTGCCATGGACCATTAGATATTAACATCGTAGAATATCCCGTTGTTGAATGCATGATATTTATTGCATTAGGTTGAAGTGATGAAGAGTAATGTTGAATCGAGGGTAAATGCATTCAAACAAAATCTTGATAAGTTTGCTGCTCGATGGCATCAGTTAAAACCTAAAGATATTGATATGGAAGGCGATAACGAAGCTTGCGTTAACGCTGTCAAATCTATCAAGGAACGGAGAGCTGAATTTAATGAACTGGAAGAAAGCAAAGAGAAATTAATGTACGTCAGTTATCTGCCTCGTACCCAGGCGCTTTAAATAATTACAATACATGAAGTATTCAGGTAGGCAGGCGACGCGCGAAGGGGCTGTTGGGAAGGGTGTGTGCTGGGGAGCGCCTGGCAGTTCTTGTATACTGTCATGGCGGACAAACATGGAATTTAATACAAAACGTTACCATATCGTCATATACTCTGTGTGTAAAACCTTATTTTCTGACGAAGAGTCGAATTGAACGCCATTGGCAAATAATAATACATTTGTACAAGTTTGATGACATACAAAATGCGCGAAATATGAGTAAATTACATGGCAAGTTAACCGTGCGAATATTTGGAATATGTCATTCGGTATTACATGGAGAATAATAGAATGCTATCAGTATAAAACAGTACAGTAACAGAGAAATGATTAGAAACTCATATAATTGCTTTTGTATTAATAACTTCCTTAGCTGAAGGCTCGATCAGTCGATCATAATGCCAATGGCAATTGCCAATTTCTATTAAATGTATACTGTCAACAAAAGCCGAAGTAAATAAAAGTTCACAGCCGTAAAGTTTGAAATATTTATTACAACAGTGCAATTTTATAGTTTGTACCTTTATATAGTTATAGCTTACAAATATAGTTCCTGCAAGTCTAGTTCTTCAACGCTTCGGTTGTTGACATGTTAATATTGGAATTTCCATGGACTGTAAATAAGGCATATGTCATATATACCACGAATAACAGCATGAATTCACGCCCAGATGACAGAAGAATATTAACATTAGTCAATTCAACAAAAACAAGTAGCAAAAAATCGTAAACGAGAACAAAATATCACAACTTGCAACAAATCGTACAAAGTTGCAAGAAATCGACCAAGAACTGCCAGGCGTCTCGCATTTCAAGTGCACTCTTCCCACCAGCCCCTTCGCCATCTCTCCCCACTACAATACTTCATGTAAACTCATCATATGCGCATCACTGGTTTTTTACAGAGACGCCTGGGTACGAGGCAGCGTCAGTTATGCACATTGCATCTTTTGCAAAATTCATGTCGCCAGTTTTATTTTGTTTGCGTGTATGTCTGTTTGTATACTTGTTTGTGTCCATTAGTAGATAGTCGGGGAATTGACAATTCCTATTATAGACTAATTTTAAAACTAGGCAAAGAGATGCAAATAAATCACCACAGCTAGACCAAATGTGGTAGCAATTTCCGCACGCAATACAAAAGTATACAAAATTTGCGAACTTTGCAAGGGTACATTTTCCGCATTTTACAACATTTCGCAACCAAACTTTGCAATTTTACTAATTTTAGTATGCTCTTTCCGGGAACATACGTTTTTTTGCCAAGTTAAAAATTAGTCTATAATGGGAATTGTGTATTAGTGATGGTATGAATTTGTAGGTTCCGAACATATTCTTACGAATTTATTGAAGAGGATTTTAATTCGCTATTAAGGGGAGCTTCACCTCCAGATTTGGTCGAATGGAGAGCAAAACTCAAAATTTGGAAAACATCACTTTTAGTCGTTGAAATTTTAACTGTCCTACTATGTGAACTACCCCACTAACATTTCTTATTACTGCTGTGATGAGAACCCCCCCCCAATCTGTCGAGTGATTGAGTTTAAAATGGTTTCATTTCAAAAGACTTCTTTAATCCAGACAAATGTAATTCATAACACTGCAATCGTGGATTACAAACTGAAAAATCTACCAGAATAAAAAACACACATTCCATAATCCCGACATGTCGTATGAAGCGGAGACGCACTACAGGCGTAGTTTCTCGTGAAATAGAATGGTTTCTCGTGAAATTTGGATAAAACAAGCACTCTGCACTCGTGAGGTCACTCAAATAGACCTCAAATTTGATGCTTTTTGAAAAACTCACTCGTGCATTTTGAAAAACTCACTCGTGCACCCGATCTAGGACGACCTCTTAAAAGCCTGAATTATCAATATATGCATTACTTTATCTGACTTTATCCTCTTTCGACATCTGTATCATGTATGTTGTCTCTAGCAAGCACGTTAATGCTGTATTTGTTTTAATATAGCTTTGAATGTAAGCACTTTGGCGTCCAAGAACCAGAGTTCCCTGTGGCTGCTGAATTGAAGACAGATATTGAAGAATACGAGTCCAACTGGGTTCTATTTGAGCAGTTCAATAACGGTTTAGGTGAATTAACCAAAGAAGATTGGATATCATTCAGGTTGGTTGGTTACTGTACACGAGTTATCTTAGTTGGTTACTGTACACGAGCATGAGTTTTAAAATTTTTTGTTAGGCAATCAATCATGCATAAAATCAATCGTGCGTTTAATAAATTGTGCGTGAACAGCTAATACGGCAAAAATCCAAGTTTTAGGGGTCGCGCGTTGGACTTAGTGTACATAAAACTGTTTGGTATTTTGGTAGTTCCACCTTCCAAATTTGCTCCCTACGAATTCAAATTGCGTTTTACGCCTTCCATAAATTTGTGCGCAAGCCATTTTTAGAGTGGTTTTTAAAATAACCCTCTTGCCCTTGAGAATTTACTTTAGTGATGAAGATACTAGCAGATCCCAAACTACCCATGTTTGCATGAAATGTTGACAAATTTTGAGGAACGCATACCTAAATACCGTATTTACTCGTTTAAGCACCGCATATGAAAGGAAAATTATTAAAGGTACAGTTCAGTCTTTTGAATGATGGTTTTTAAGGCGCATTACAGCCCTTTTAATTAAAAAAACAACTAACCAGGAAAGTCGATTAAGCATAATTCAAAATCAGCAAACTTAATGTTTTTAGCATTTTAAAACTTTTTTTTGTTAAAAACATTGAGTATACTGATTTTGAAATTGTGCATATAATTGATTTTCCTAGTTAGTTTTTCAATTAAAATGGCTGAAATGGCCCTAAAAAACCATCATTCAAAAGGCCGAACTGTGCCTTTAAAGAGCGCCGCCCTCGAATAAGCGACACACTTATCTTATTCACAACAACGCGGCGCTTAATCGAAGCACCATCTGAAACGCCCTGGGTACGAGGTTGCAATCTTTACCAAACCTCGGAACTCTTTTTCCCCTGCATTTCAGTGATACTATGTTATATTTTGTTGCTAATACTTCTTGTGATCGCTTACAAATAAAATATTTTTTAAAGAGCGCCGCCCTCGAACAAGCATTTGCAATTACGTAAGCGGTAATTGAGCTCAACTGACAATGAAATCTTTTTGAAATGTTTGTCAATTTTCGCCAAGGTAAACGGCTGACCATCCCATTTCACTCAGACACACCGCATAGCTAGGAGTCTTTGTCGGGCAAGAGAATCCGTGTTTCGTGATTTTGTTATTGTTGTGCTATTGTCTTACAGGGGACATACGTATAAATTTGAGGAATTTCTTATGATCTGGACAGACGAACTAAAGAATCGTGAACCAACAACAATGACCGTACGGTTACAGAAAGAAGTCGATAAATACAAGGTGCATTAACTTCCTGATTTTTGGATAATATAATTTTCATATGCATGGCGGTGGCGTAATAGTCTAGGACCTGTATTAAACTGAGTATCAGGCCCCTATGTTTTCATTCGCCAGGATTAATTGGCGGCGGCGAATGAAGGAGGGCCTGATACAATTCTTTACCGCGCCGCATGTAAAAAGCAAGATTCTGGCTTTTTCGTCTGATTGGCCGATTAGACAAACGATTTTTTAAATCTGTCATTTGATTATAACGATCACAACTACAATTATAGCCGGCACACTAGACGGCTGAATTTAAATTAAAACTGCAGTAAAATTAGAAAATAATCGCAAATTAGCGAAATATATTGCAAATGTAGCTTATATTAAATCGCCATCAGATTGCACTATCGACTAACTGACGTATAGTTATAAAGTATACTTAATATATATATTTATTTTTTTTCTTGCGGTCCGAAGTCATATTTTACGCTTTTCTGCAATCTGATTGGCTACGTGAGCGGTCCGTATGAGCCCGTACGGACCGCGCGAGATTTAAAGCCGTAGAGCCAATGTTTTTATTTTTCAAAATTTAAAGACGAGTTTAAAGGCTACTTTTTAAAACATTAAAATGTCTGCAGACGATGAAAAACACAGTGAAAGCGAATTTTACTATCTCTCAAAAGATATTTCTCTTCCCGATAGCAATGATAGAAACGACGTTTTAGTTGGCAGCTTCATTCGCGTGCGGGAGGAGTGATTGGGGAAATCCAGAGGAATTAAAAAAAATAAAAATATTATTTACCGGTATGGTCGGTCCGTATGGAGGAATATTTCTCTCGGTCTTAAAAACGTCCCTCGGCCTTTGGCCTCGGGCCGTTTTTAAGACCTCGAGAAATATTTCTCTATACGGACCTCCAATCCGGTAAATAACATATATATATTTCTCCTCAACTTCCTCGTGGCGATTTTTGATTAATTGCGTGATTGCGAAGATATGGGTCTTCAAACTTTGCGTTGCGCAGGCTTAAATACCACCCCTCGAATTTGTAGGTTCCGAACGGATTAGCGTTTTTAAAAGCCTTTCAAATCGAGGTTTGAGAGGTTTTATTTTTTAAAAGATACTTTTATATTCATATTTTCACATTAACTTATTAATATCCTGTGTAACAAGTAAACAGGACATTTCCGGGCCGGGACAAGTTGACATGTCGATTTCTTGCCAAACAGCGTGGCGATCAATATGGCGAATATCTAAATACAGGGACTTTTTAAAATTTTGTTGGTATAAATGGGATAAAGAAGCTCATCAAATATTTGGACTATGGACCTTCAAACTTATGCCAAGTATTTATTTGATTGATTAGCCCAATAACTGTTTTTTGGCTCGTTTTTCGTCGATTTCGACATTTAGTCGAGCTTAGTCGACTTCAAAATAATGTGTCAACATTGCGTGTTGCAGCCTGTGGATATGAATATTTTCGTTTGTTTGACCATAACACTTTTCTTCACTGTTTTTAATCCTTGAATGACAATATATTCATTGATCTCATAGTCCTAAACTTAAGGAAGATGGATGACTTTGGGACAGATATCAAAATTTTGTTCAGATATCAAAATTTATGGACATATACAGTCACAGAGCATAGTCATAGGACCCTCATTGTTTCTTCCTTTAATCTGGCCCACTGGTCACAAATGGGGCCTGTTCTTATGACCTGGCTAGGCAGGAGACAACATTTGCCAGTATTGCCGATATACTATCCTGCTACTATCCTGGCTAAGCACAAGGTATCCGTTGCCAGAATCCCAACTATGCAAGCCAAGAAATTCACCATTTACAGTAAACATTTTATCCCACAACCAGGCAACATGAACTTGCCTTTAGGGTCCCATGCTGCCTAGCCCAGATCATATCAACAGACCCTTAGCAGATCCTGAAACTACAATTGGAACATTTTAGGCCATAATCTTGTAGAATCAAAACTGTAACTGTATAATGGAAAAAAATAAAATATCTAAATCAACCAGGTATTGTCAGTAGTATAATATCACACTGGGCATGCAAGCTGGTCTTGCCCATTTATATGGGCTAAATATACACCTGCCCATGGTAAGATACTGCCTTGTATATTAATTTTATATATGTTTGAGATTGCATTCACATGAAACAGCCTGGTTGAATTTATTGGCCTGGCATTTGCTTGAGCAAGTTGTTATCCTGCATTGGGAGTCTCACACTAATAAAGGTCATAAGCTGGCCAACCAGCTCACTCGACTAAAAATCATGTTATAATACACAATTTGGCCCAAGTAAGTAAGAAATTGATTAATATAAGCCTTCTGAAGCTGTTGTCATTAACAAATTAACCAGCATTTCACACAAATTTCTTGACAACAGTTGCCAGGTTAGCCTGGCTCCTGTGAGGCAAATGACAAACTAGCCCTGAAAAGAAAATCCAGCCATGTTTGCTGGGCTAGCATGGCCCATTTTGACAGCCCTTAACAGGGAGAGCTTATTTTTGGAAGGGAGATCTGATTTTTGGAAGGGAGGCCTATTTGTGAGGTTACTGGGGGCTTAATATTGGATTGCATTATATAATATGTGTAAAATATTCATTTGTGCACAGGTATTCTGGTAATGCACAAATTTATGGACTAAAATGTTTCAATTATAGTAGATCGGGATCTATTGGGGACCTGTTTATATGATCTAGACTATCCAGAACACATGCTTGAAGCCTAATTCATGTTGCCTGTTTGGTATACAGTGCTTATTGATCCTTATTGTATATGGTGAATTTCTTGGCTTACATATAGCCAGGATACTGGCAAATGTCGTCTCCCACCTAGCCAGGTAATATGAACAGGGCCCAATTGTGACAATTAAGTGAGCCAGATGAAGTAAAAAAACAATGAAGTTCATATACAGGTATATATCCATAAATTTTGATACCTGAACAGCAACATTGAACAAAATCATTCTGTCCCAATGTCATCCATCTTCCTTAAGTTTAGGACTCTGAGACCAATGAATATAGGATTAAAACCAATGAAGACAAGTGTTATTAGTTAACATGCACAACTCAACGAAAACGAACGAATAATGCTAATAAGGATAGCTTATTTTATATGTCAAGATTACAATTATACATGTATATATCAAAACATAGGTTATTGTTTAGCAAATGCTATAAATTGAATCAAAATATAGTCTTTGGGATGTGTTATTTGGTTTTAGGATACACATATACTTTTTGACATTCTCTGCATGAATAGTGAATAGCGATACAAATTGCACTTTTCATCCTTGTCTTTATGGAAATATTAAATGCAAGTATACTTTAATAATGCCTTGATGTCTTTCAACCGTAGTCACGATGGACGAGTTATATGAGACTGCAACCGCTCCGAAATTTTTATCAGTTGTACTTAATCTTTTATTCTCCGTTTATTTGTGTGTACTGAGTGGGAATATTAAATAATTGTCAGAGGAAGAAAGATATCTCGGCTTAAATAACAAAGTAAACCATGCATTTATTGTTAACCGCTAATCTGTTACTTCAGCGTTTCTATAAATTATTATTCCTTGCAAAGGCTGGTGCCCAAGCGAACACCCCAACTCCACGTATTGAGGGAGTCTTGTTTCCTAACTTTGTGAGTTTAATGGTCCGGATTTTTCAACGAATTACAGTAATGCCGGCCTGTCAATGTGAACATTTGTTTTTGAGTTTAACATGGGCAAGTGTCAAGTCTTTTCTAAAATGTTGAATATTTGACAATGGATTTCGAACAATTTATAATTGTATTGTCCTTGCGAGTACAAGTCCGTTCGCTGTGTAACACCAGTCGCAAATTCATGATGTGCTGTCAGCTGTCTTAACCAATGAGAATTAGCTCGTTTGTTACGTGGAACGGTATGCGATTATAATATTCGTTCAATATCAGACGATAATTCATGATGTGCTGTCTCTACCAATGAGCAGGCCAGTTTCTCTGCATTTCGACGAATAGATCGTTCGTTTAATGAGGCTATACGTTCGTTTTCGTTGAGTTGTGCATGTTAACTATTGTCAAACAAACGAAAATATTCATGTCCACAGGGTGCAACACGCAAT